TTAGATTAATAATGTATTACCTTTGTTAAGGTAACACGGTTTTTGGTTTCACAATTATTGTCTATTTTTATGATAACTATACTATTAACGATGCACGTTTTCATATTCATTGAAGTTGATGATGCGCAAGATGAATAATAATGATATAATGAGATCAATAAAAAAATCCTGTTATTGTTTAAAATGGACGTTAACGTTAATTACCATGTATTTGATATTTTAACAAAATACACATTCTGTTATAAATTTTAACGTATCTTTAAACCTATAATTATGGTTAATGAAAGTATTTATTTAACTGTTCAATTCACATGCAAGGATTGCCATCGACATGAGAACGCAAAGTTCCCTCTCAGAACTTTGTCACAGTAAAACTTCTCCAGTAACGGATACATTTTGGGTAGTGCAACGCTCAACTTAGTTGCGACTTAACTGTTAAATTCTCTTAATATAAACTAAGAGAGTTCGTCTCGTTAAATAACACCCCTCCGCTACAGTGCATGCGCAGATCTTGATGTGAATGAAGTTTTGAAAGAATTAGATTAAAGATTGTCTAATACGAAATTATAATATATATAATTAAAGATTACAATTGAATATTGAAATCTTAGTTATTTTATGACGGATTTATGCTCGATTTTTGAAAATGTATTTCATAGTGTTTTTAAGGGGTCCACTAAATCTCCCTTGACAAAGTGAAGTTCGCTGTTGATAAAGTAAAAATAAATGTGAATAAATGACGAAATATTATTTACGATTAATTAAATTAACATTTCTGTGTTGATATCACACTGGATATACCAGTATAAAATACAATTAAATATAGAATTAACCACAATTGCTTTCCTACTTCTGAGAGATGATTATACACACTTTATTCGTTAGGCACTTATCCTTCAGAAATTGCAGAGTAGATAAACAGAAAAGATTTTGCTATACTTTTACTTTTTTATTTGATTTTAAAATTTAAACCTACTTAGTTAATGCATTTTAACTCTACACCTGTGTCGTCACTTTTTTTTAAAAATTCAAAACTGGCCAGCACTTGCCTGCTATCCCACCTGATGGTAAGTGGTAATGCAGCCGTTGATGGTAAGCGCGCTAGCTCAGAAAAATCTATTCACTCTTGTCTTGACGACGTCTATGTTGTTAAGTTGGATAGGGTATTGGTTAATAAATATGTCATCACACTTATCAAATTTATGACTATTTCATAACTATTCTTATTCTATTCTTCAAGAATGGGTTGACCAATACAAATTTAAAGTTTTTATCTATTTCTGCTGTAAATGTTAAATATTCATTTGGAAAAAAAATTAAATATAAATTTTCCCCCCGGCCCATATGACTGCAACAGTATTTATGTATTCCAGAATATTCATAATTTATTAATTTTTTTAAAAAGAAAATTTATAAAACAAAAGGAAGATAATCTCTGCACACAATTTTATTTTTTTGACGATAGAAAAATAATAACAAATCACGTCTATGCTTTGACGACCGATCATCGGTTCCCCCTAAGAGCAACTCCGCACGAGTTTATAAAGGCAAACTCAATAATTTAACGTTCATACATCATAATTCAGTCATCTAAACTCCTATACCATTAACCTTCTAATTTAATTCCCATACTATTAATCGTTATATAATTATTAAACTCCTATATCCACTCCACTATCATTAAACACAAAGGACTTATTTGTCATATATATATATAGTTATTCCTCAGCCACAGTTAAAATTGTAGTAGTGAACTGAAGGTTCTAAGTTCAATTTCCTTACTAGTTCAATTATATCTCGTTCTATATAACCAATGAGCACAGCACTAAGTCGAAGTAAGTTGCATATATTTTTTTTACTTTGTACTTATTTATGTATGTAGAAATTGGTATATGTAATACAAAAGGTTTAAGAGACATATTCAATATATCCGTCTTAATCCTAAAAATCTGTTTAGCTAGAAACCGTTGACCCCATTAATTCTCCGACACAGTCGGCGTTATTGTGTTGAAATCCAGAATAGTGCGCCTTTGACATAATCCGATTTGCGTTGAAGCACTTCAAGCATTCAATTTCCAACTATTCCATTTTGAAATTGTGCAGGAAAATGAACATTGTATAGCACGACGACATTTTCGATTGCTTAATAAATTTGAAGGGTTTAGGCATTGAGAACACAGAATGATTAATTTCATTCTGTGTTCTCAATGCCATATTATAATGCGTTATTGTGTTAGCTCTTTACTGTCGCCTAATGGACTTCCATTGTTACAGTTGCTGGGTAGCGGCGTAGTGGAACGTGGCCATTTGCAAGCGATCGTGTTACAAAGGACATAAAGGTGGTCACACTATAAATGGAGATAAAAACCTCTAGAACTGTACCTACCTTATCGTCTAGAAAAAAGAAGCTTGTACACATAGTTTTAACCGAAATAGTGTAAATATCATAGGTGAATTAAGTATTAAATATATAATTAAATCAAGTCTATTAAGCTACAAATATATGAAATCATCCGAAGCAACGCCTAAAGAACTTTAATCGATAATAGGCATTTACCGATAGCTAGAACTTAGATCTATCTGTAAACATTCTTACTATCACAAATAAAATTTCGTTGCGTTTCCCGTATAGATAAGCCTGCCCTGGTAAGATTATCGATCTAATATTATATACCTACCATTGAAATAATTTATCAATGTATGAAATAATTAGATTATAGTATTGGCAATAATAACGATTTAATTGAAGTATCAGTAGTCCATTTTTTGCTTCTTAAATTAAAAACTCCCATGCCTTTCATTTGTTCCTACATGAATATTTTAAAGCGACCTTTGCTTTACAGTATGCTCTCTCTGGTTTGGTACACGCTATGTGAGAATTTTTACAGTATTTTTAATGTTAAAATATGGCTAGCGAGCTGACGGTTCACCTGATGCTAGCCGTCCCCTCCCATGGACATTTGCAGCACCCGTAGGTTTGCAGATGCGTTGCCACCTTTTTGCCACCGTTTTTAGATGCGTTGCAAGGTTTTAATAAAGTGGGCTACCCCACTCTCTCTACGTTTCGTCCGGTGTCCTTCCCCTAGATATGGTTGAATCGGATAACATTTCTTTAGCACTTCACGCCCGATATTGTTTCCTGAAATTGTTAAAATTTTTCTATTTGTTTGTTCGTATTTACAGAGGAATCTTAATCACAAACAGAAACAAATCGAAATTAAGAACCGTCATCGGAGACAAAATTAAAGAACATCTCAAAGATAATAGCGGGAAAGAAAAATATTACATTATTTATTTCCTCGTCCCCACTCAAGTGACGAAGAACGGATCGTAATTAATAACAAACGAGCCCAATTAATCATTCCCCGTATTTCTCTTTGTAATAACAGCAAATAATTATTGTTATCAATTATTATTACTACGTTAAATTATGTGGTGTAAACAAATCATGCGCGCTAATGTAATGACTTTAAGAAATGTTAAAATAAAATTTTAATATTTATTATTAAGCAAGTAAAGTTCGAGAAAACTCCTTATCACCACCACATACGTAACCGTGCCGCGTAAACTATTTTGGATCTAGTTAGAATTTAAACTTTAGAGACTAGTTGCTAAAACATTACAAATGTATACGTTTGTAAAACGTTTGTACGCATACACGGACTTAGATCTTATTAAAGCGAGCATGTTATTTAATTTCCTTTGAGAATTCAGTAAATGTAATTTCATCTCGAGATCTAAAAGTAAAACAAATAATGGAAAACATGACGTTTTGATACTATTTTACATTCTGTGTATTTGGTATTCTGCGTAGGAATGTACCTTAGAAGTTTTATTTCATTGATTTAATGTTTTGTTATACGCTTGGTACTTACCCGTACCAATATCTTCATATAGTTAGAGAGTTTTCTTGTATATTTAGAAACTATAGAAATCCACGGTGTGTTTGACTGAACGATTTCGAATATTGAAATTCTCGAATGCCCAAAACGCATTACTCTTAACGAGCCTGCATTCGTGTCGCACGCGGCAAAAGTCGTAGCGCGTATGATGATGAAGTATTGTGATATTTAGAAAATACAGGAGGAAAAATATAAAGTTTTTCTATGTGGAAATTCGATAAACGATGGAAATTCTAGAACTTCCCGAGTGTTATAGAATTTCCATTTTCATGAAAATAACCGTTGGAGAATATAAAGTTATCGCATTTAACCTGTAGAAAAGGTTATTTTTAAAGACTTACCAATTCCAAACTCATTTTAAGGGGACTCTCTGCAATAATAGCTATTTAAAAAATTAAAGAGCGTTGATTCTATCTATTGGTTTGGTTCCGTATTGGTTGGGTTCTGTACCCAAAGGGTAAAACGGCACCCTATTACTAAGACTCAGCTGTCTGTCTGTCTGCCTGTCCGTTTGTCACTAGGCTGTATTTCATGAACCGTGATAGTTAGATTGTAGAAGATGTACGAGTATTGCCGCTATAACAGCAAATACTAAAACATTGAATAAAAATATATTTAAGTAGGGCTCTCATACACCGGACATGATATTTTTCCAGTTATTATAAATAATGGTATGGGCTTGGCACTTGGGCCGTTTTTTATTATACATACGACGCATATGTGTTAGCGATGAAACTACTGGGCTATTTATTGATTGAAACCGTAATTAATTCAAAATAGTCGTTTTTGAAATACATACAAACAAATCGAATTATTTTATAACCATTTTAAATAACTTTTAAGATTATTTTTTTCTTTTTGATCGTTCATTCTGCTTCCTTCCAGGTTTATAGGTATAGACGTAATAAAAAGTATATATGTGAAGATATTAAAACTTCAGTTTATACCTGTTTCAATAGTTGTTGGCGATACGTCGTAAAATGTGAAAATTGAAAGATGTATTTTCGTGCGCATTGGATAGTCATACTATTCGTTATGGTAGTTAATACAAGGGGGGATTTCTCAACGGGTAAATACGGAAAACTGACTACGGCGAAGATGCGGCAAGGTACGATGCCAAAGCCGACAAGCGGAGCGAATGAAAGTTCACCAGACACAGTTGTGGAAAGCAGTTCTAGTTTAACTTTCACGAAGGCTTCTGGACGAAGAGTAGGTTAGTTTTATATATTATATATCATTTGAAATAGGTTAAGTTATCTGTTTTTTCTAATTAAAAAGCATTTTCAGTTACTCTTACTGGTATTAAATATAATACATTATTTGTTATCTGGTGGAAGTGGTGGCGTATAGTGATAGGAATCTATACATTGTGAGACAATAACAATTAGATTAATATAATGTTAGAAAAAGTATATATGTATATGTATGTATATATATATATATATATATATATATATATATATATGTATGTATATATATACAATACATAGGTTTAAATGCCTAATGCAAGAATTTGTAGTCAATGGTCAAATAAATGCTGTTTCATATTTCATAGCCTTTGCTGATATTTGGAATTGGGAGCATTGGTGTCAACTGCAACGCAAGACTGGGAATTGCTCGGAAAGTGTCATGAGGTACTACGTCTTAATGGTGCTTTGTTTTCTTCCAAACAAACTTCATGATTTTCTTAAGTTCAATAAAGCATAATGTTTGATGTCTATATCAATAAAAGGTATTTAGAAAAATTGTGGTAAATATCAGTCATATAAAACGTCTGTATTTAATCAAATTGTCATTATTATGCATTCAAGTTTATAACGAAAACATTAACTTCCTTCGATTGGAATTTTTTTTATTATTATCGTAGAACATACACTTTAAAATAATGTTTAAATCATTATTTTTCTGGCTTTACCATAAAAACACTAGTGATGACTTAATTAACACGAATAATTTAAATTCTAGATATTATTACGACACCCAAGTAGACCAATGTATAAACTTCACGTACAGCGGTTGTGGAGGCAATGAAAATAATTTCGATTCGACTAAAATTTGTGAACGTTTTTGTATTGGTATGTTATGACTCGAAATGTTTCTTACAATGTAAATTTATAAATATATATTTTAAAGGCGTTTAAAATAGCCCGACATAAAGTACAGAAATTTGTTACAAAGATTATTGAATAAAAAAAAAACTTGCGGGATTGTTGGAGCCTCTTTGCTAAGGCTTTTGCTTCAAGTCTCCAAATAAATATGTTTATTTTTTTTTTTTATATAATTTATTGGTATGTAAATTATTTAATTTAAGGAATTATGTAAATAGTAGGATTAAGTATTAACTTAATGAAAATTAGATATATAAGAGTTAATTATAATCATTAAAATATTAAAAGGAAATGCCATGCGGGCTTCGCGCGCCACTATGTTCAATTAAATATTTTTAAAATGAATTATTTTAGCATATGATATATTAATTATGTTAGAAAAAGTGGTTTCCGAGAAATCATACCGGCCAACCTTTCTAAAGAAGCTTGTTCAAAAAAGTTCTTTTTGAACTAACATAACGATTTTTACCAATATTTTTAGGCGCTCCCTACACAACATTGAAGGACGATGGAATAAACTTTTGTGGAATTCAACCGGACGCTGGGATCTGCTTACACCTTACCACAAAGTATGCATATATGTGTATTATTAAAATACAATCAATTAATACTGCAGCTACTAAAATAAAAGTCGCTAATAAAATATTTTATATTTAATTTAGGTACTACTACGATGTTAACAGCGATAACTGCAAAGAGTTTAAATATGGAGGTTGTGGCGGCAACCGAAATAGATTTGACAATATGAGATCTTGCAAGCGAGAGTGCGGTGGATCTTCGAAATAATTTATTTATACACAGTTATAATTTTGTCAAATGAATAACTGTACAAAAAAGAGTTTTTAAAATGATTGATTTACTCATAAATTCAATAAGGTTTGTTTTGGCTCTGTGATAAATAATTTTTAACTCGAAAAAATATTGTGTTTGCCGAAAAAGCGAGAAAATTACCAACCCAAAAAATATATAGGAAGGCCGCAGATGTGTTGCAAACTTTAAAAAAAATTACCCCGGTTACTCCATCACTAAAAAAGAGGAGGAGTCGCCATGTTATGTTTCACCACTAAAGATTTTTTTCGAGTTTGCACATAAAGCTTATTTTTATTTCTCCATCAAAAAGCGAAGCACGTATTTTTGTGATCTTAACCATTTGCTACTTGAAATCCTTTTGAATTTCAAGAATTTTTTATGTCCATTATTCATGCCATTTCCTATTTCATTTTTTATGTGAAAAGTTGCCAAGCGAGCAGACGGTTCACCTGATGTTAAGTGAATGGACATCCGCTACACCCGAGGGTTGCAGATGCGTTGATAACTTTTTGAAAAATGGGCTACATCACTCACCAGCCGAAACGCGAAAGTATTATACTTCCACTTTACGCCGGTCTTCAGTGAGTTCGTGGTACTTACCCGGACGAGCCTGCCCATTCGTACAACAGCCGAGGCTGCTGCGTGGCCTTACCACCGTTAAATTTCAATGCCCTAACAGCTTCAAAAACCCTTTCTCATACGCGTACTATGTATTGAAATTTGTGTTACGCAAAAATTTTAATTTCCAATCACCGTGCTATAAGGTGTGTATGTCAGTCACTCAGAAATAATTGTAAAATATTTGCACATAGTTTATTAATAAAAACGTCTGAAAGAGTAAAGCCATTGTTCCTTGTCTATTTTAAGTAATTTTGTCCATTTGTGCCTAATATGCATCCTGAATGTAATTATCTCACCGTTTATTTAGAAATTGTAATACCGTTTAAAATGTAGCATATTAAAAATATTTTTCCAGCTACTGTTCATGTTGTAACTATAGTATCTCCCCTAATTAGCAGAATGTTTCTGGATAAATTCAAGCCATGTTCAAGCCGCGAGTTAGGTTAATTATTTTGATTTAATTAGATTCCTTGTTAGCGGGAGCCAAGTTATATAAAGTTTGTTTTTATGATGCCCACAAAGTTTGGAAAAGTTCTGCTTCGGAACGAAAGATAAGTTTTTAAAATTAATTTTCTAAAGGGATATCATATCGCAATTAACATAAGCTTGGCTTCACAAGATGGGTGAACCTTATAATTTTTTTACTATAGAAACCAAGATTTATAACTTTATAAATGAACAATGAGATACTAAAATGGTCATTTATTACGTTGGGAAATATATAGAAGCGTAAGGCATATTAGGCATTTCCAATTGAAGTAAACGACTTCTTTATACCTTATTGTGTATATAAACAATTTAGAGAGGTTTTTCCATACCAGTCGAACGAATTTAGGAGATCGGATTAAACTGATTAAGCCTTCGCTGGTAGACGAGCAATTACCGACAGACTCGAACGCCATAATCCCCACCCCAACCCCCCTCCATGACGTAAAAAACGCTAATTAATAGCCAAGCTTTGCGTTTAATTAAGGATGATATTTCATCGCCGCGACAGACGGATCAACTCTGTTACTCGAAGCGATGCACTCTTTCGTTGCTGCTTATATTATTATAGTCAGTTTCACTAGGCATAATAAAAACTTGAATTGGCACACATGTCAGTGGTTAGAGTCCAGTTTCATATACAGTATCCGTACGTTACATATAATATCTAATATATAAAATTCTCGTGTCATGGTGTTTGTAATTGAACTCCTCCGAAACAGCCATTTTTTTGTGCATATCGGCCAGGGTGGAAAATCGGATAACATCTATTTTTCATCCCACTAAATGTTAAGGGTGGTCCACCCCAAACATTTTTTTCTACCCTACAAATAATTCATATGGCAAAACTATTATACAGCGTGTCGTTACAACCGCGACAATAAATGAACACACATATAGAGGATAACTTTTTAAAATTGTATTAAGCATTTACATTCTTCTTATACATTGCCCTTACTTTAGGATAATATTATCCTGTGTTGTAAGGACATTTTACAAACATAAATTTCATGCGGACAAATGGGAAACAACTATCTGTGGGTCACACAAATACTTGTCCCGTGTGGGAATCGAACACGACCCCCGACGCCGAATCCAATACCTTGGCAACTGCGCCACGGAGTCATCAATCTTTAAATATCAATATTTATCCAGTTATTAAATTTTACAAAACAAACATTTTTAGAACACCTTTACGTATAAAACTGTAACGTAAAGTTCATTTGTAAAGGTCAAAAAGCCTTACGTATAAAACTGTAACGTAAAGTTCATTTGAAAAGGAATGAATTTAAAAGAGATAAAACAAACTATTATAAGGAAAGACTTGTAATACGACGTAGTGGCAACGAATGAAAAGTTCTCTGAATGTATGAATCAGTTAGTTGTTAGTGTTACAAATTTTGTTTATTTTTTATTTAATTAGTTTGTTTGAAAAATATATTTTTTTAATTATGGATTTTTTTATGGTTTTATACTTTATGATTATTGGCAAGTAGCCTTAGACGTGTGTTCATTTATTGTCGCGGTTGTAACGACACGCTGTATAATAATAAATATAGTAGGGATGGATCAGCAATTTCATTACATCAGTGTGAATCTAAAACCAGTTTAGAAATTCTATGGATCAAGTAAATATGTAACATTAAAGTTAATGCGATAAATCGCGTAAATAAAAATTGCGGAAATTATCCTACATTATATATGTTTCATATTCTTATTCATATCTTTAGTGGCAAGGCTTCGGCATCGGGGTTTATGGGTTCGATTCCCTCACGGGACAACTATTTGTGTGACCCACATATATTTATTTCGCATCTGGGTGTTTGTTCACATGAAATTTATATTTGTAAAACGTCCTTACAACACAGGATACTGTTTCGATAATGTGTTCTCAGTTTAAAAAAAAAACAATTAACAAGCCCTTAAAATAAATGTAGCGCTCGCAACGATGCTACGGAATTATTTCTTATAGTTTCATCAGCATTTTATTCTTTAATTAGAGGTTATTATAATATAAATTGAAATTTAGTCTTTTATCAGTAGAGTTCTCCTCTTAATTAATGGTTTAGACATGTGTTTTTATTTTTTTTGTTACAAATTTTTAAAGCTCTTTATAGTGCTAATCTCTGCACTTAAGATTGGCACCGCTGTGGGAATCGAACCCACGTCTTCGGCATTCGCGGCCTGACGCTCAGCCGTTTAACTCTGTGGCTAACAGAGCTAAACAGCTGATAGCCACAGCGACGAAAATCTTAACGCCTTCTTTCTACATTGTTATTTAGCATTTGAAGCAATGTTGCAATTGCTTTCCACAATCTTTTCGTACTTTTTCTACATGTTTTGTTTGTTACAATTAATGAAAATGCATACATAAAATGTTAAGGTTACATTTTTTTAATACACAACCATCATTTAGTAGTGATTCCATGAATAGTATTTAATCATTAAAAGAAAATTAGGAATAGCCTTGTAAAAATTTAAAACAGAACCCTCAGTTCTTAAATTCACGCAAAAATAGCAACAATGAAACTATCAATGTTTCACACTCTGTGAAGCTTGAAGGTTTTCTCATGTAAGCACTAAAAACATCACTGTTGAAGTACACCGTCGCTGTATTATAATGAGAAACATAATTTTTAAATACGTTTAGTAATAAATATTATTTTCAGTGCTAATCTCTGCACTTTTTTTCTTTTTTTACTGCCCATACTTTAGGATAACAATATCCGATGTTGTAAGGTTTACAAACATAAATTTCTTAAGATTAAACTTAAGATATGTTGATAAATCGTTTTAAAATTTTTTCGCCTGTGCCTGGTTTCGATCATACGACCCGTATGAATCAGATTCATTCAGACGCTCTTGCCACTAAGATAGCAGTCGATTTCCTCATTGCGTGGAAATCTCGCAATATTAATGCTGTAATGGAAGCACATTAGATTTTTTTTGTGTGAAAGGTGTTTTTTTGCGTGTAAAGTGCAAGCCGTGATAGCTCAGTGTCCCGGCGCTCGCATTTAATTTAATACGAGTATACTCGAGCAACCACTGATTTAGATGTGGTGCCAGTACCAATGAAATTGTGTGCTGAATTATCATGCGCTCAGCGGTGAATCAGACTTCATCGTGAGGAAACCTACATTTTCGAAATAGCAACAAAAATAATATATCGAAGATATTATATGAAGTCTGCCAATCCGCAGTGGGGCCGCGTGGTGTACTCTGTGTACAGAGGAGGCCTATGCCCAGCAGTGGGATATGTATAGGCAGTTACTTTTAAATGGCAAGCAAGGCATTTGTCTGATGTCAAACGGTAACTGCCATCCATTAACATCATTTGAGAGCTTGCAACGCATCTGACGTAGTTACCTTTACAAATGCGGGCCCAATTTTCTACAGTTTATGTACACATTTTCAGCTTTATTTTAAATATGACCTTCTTTAAAATATTTTTTTTTTATATAAGTGGTAGAAAATTTCTCAAATATTCTCTAATGTGAGAATTCATCGCTGGAAAGCCCATTAGTTTTTCTTGAGACTTCTTTATTTCATTACACGTGTCCGAGATTTATATATAAAATAGCAAGTCTGTCTCATAAACATGAACGCAAAAAAGTGTTGGAAACGTCTTGAAATTGAAAGTAAACAAGCGACAAAACCGTTTTATTTATCCAGGTGTAATCTACGTGTAAATACAAGAGACTATTATTTGTTCAAAATCAGCTGCTCACGAAATGCTGTGTTCATCTATGTATCATCATCTTTAACATAATTTCACCATTTTAAGTCCACTACTGAACGTAAGCCACCTCTATAGACAGCCACAAAATGACGATTCTGAGTATAGTTGGACAAATTGGTGGTTCGATTTTGTTTATATCATTTATCACGAATCTACGACTTGCGAATGATAACGAATACGAATGATAATTATGTATTAGAAAGTAATTTTACTATTTTATGATTTGCTATTTCCATGTGCCCGAACTTTACGGTAATTCTTCTACGTAATATCAGCTTTTGAACTAAACGTGACATCAATCAAGTGTCATGAATGTCAAGTGTCTTACTTTGAAGCTCAAACACCAGGCCTGATATCTGATATATGATGCCTATATCCTTGTTTATATTGTGCGCTGTTAATTTACGAAAAGTTCGCGGAGATTGGACTAAAACTGATTAAGCCCTGGTTGGGAGACGGGCAATTACCGGCCGTCTCGACGGCTGTAATCCTAGCTGTGGGGTAAAAAAGTTCTAATTAACCGAGGTATCTATCTTAAGTCGTAAAAATATTACGTCCACGAGACGAAAATCGTTAAAAACTGCAACAGTTTTTAAATTAGCACATAGACGAGACAAAAATATATAAGGATTACAGTTAATCAGTATCGAGTTATGGTAAATTTATTTTTAGGATTTGATGTTTAAAAATAAAGAAGCTTATAAAGTGCACAAGAATAAAATATATCATGATACTTTTTATATTCTTTATTTACTTTTGTAATTGATTTTATAAACACATCTGATTGGCATATTATGATGTTGGAAATTGAAAAGTTCATAGACTCTGAGAACATATTTTAATTTTCATAGAGTATAAAAATTAAACAATATTATTGCCCGTTTACGACCAATGAAATAAAATGAGCTGATAGTAAAACGAATATAATACAATATCACTAGCTCAGATATTCTATTTTGAAAACACATCAAAAATCCGAACAATATTATTACTGAGAAAAAAGCGTTTTTAAAATAACGTTGAAGGTGGAAATCCGATTTGAAGATTTAGAGTTTAATGTTAATAAAATGTTAACTATTATTTCTCACTTTCGAATGGATATAGATAATATCTTAGATAGATAATATCTTAAAAGATATGGAATAAGCAGAAAGCTAGATGGCTATAAAACTAAAATTTAGTATTTTAATTAGATCAATTACCTTCAATGAGAAAAGATGATTCGACGGAAACATTTATTAATATAAACGCCCCTTCAGAACGCCTTTAGTCTTAAGATAATTGATATTTTCTGGCGACATTTTAATTACGAGGCCTGTTACAAAATTTAATTAAGCACGGACGTCGGGCGACTAATGTAATTTGGCCCAATGTTGTCGGAGGATTACAGCCTTATTAATTATTTTTAATATTATTTGTCTTTGTTGGCTTTTGTGAAGCAAAAACCAGACAAACATCCCTTTTTACCTTACGAAATTAATGTTAACATTCACGGGTTACTTCATTAGCATGTGTAATAAATTGAAAACAATTTCGGTGTATTTAATAATATTGCGTTCAATGTAATTTATGTTTATGGTATAGCATTATTTATTTTGACAACGCATGTGTATAAATTTTGACAACGTAACTAAACATTTGCAAAAAGCCTGAAAAAAATTTGCCATACTAAATTAAAAAATAGCGGCACATAATTATATTTACGTTTATATAATCCGCTATAAATAAAAAAAACTTTAACATTTTTTTTCTGGTTATTTATGAAACAAGGCTTGAAGCACTAAATTTTGCTGGAATAAGGAGCCGGGAAAACTTATTATTATCATATTTATATTTATATTTTAAAAGGTCAATAAATATTCAATGTAAACTCTTTTTTCTCAGTAAAACCTAAGTTTCCTTTTAAATTTCGAAACTTTGTGATGTCTCAAAATTGAGTGAGTGACAGATGTCATCGGCCTAAACTCTACAAAATTTGTGTATTTTATTTGATAACAACCATTATGACCTTTATTTTTAATCAAATCATTTAATCATAGTAACATAATTGTAATATTTACTGCTTTTGTAGTTTTAAAACAATTAAAGACAAACAAATCGTAACGTAAAGACGAGAAAAATAAGTTAAATAGTTTTTCAAATGATTGATTGTCAAATTTACAAATACTGAGATTACACTGCAGAAACATGATTGAAACGAGCACCGCGGGAAATACTACAGACTTACTTCCAATAGCTACGGTAAGAATAACAGAATCAAAATCTTTAAAAATAATACATAATTTCTTTTCATGCAGTATTAGAGCCGTGATAGCTCTGGGCGCTCGTTTTTCATTCAATATACTCGAGCAACCCGAGATTGAATCCCGGGGCCAGTCAGATATCAATGAAATTGTTAATTTTAAGTGTTGTGCCCAGCGGTGGAGGAAAACATCGTGAGGAAACTCATATTTTCAAAATAATGACAAAAACTATTTTGAAGATATGTGAAGTCTGCTAACCCTTAGTGGGGTCGCGTGGTGGATTATACCCGAATCCCCTCTGTACAGCGGAGGTCTTTGCCCAGTAGTACGACTTGTACAGGCTCTCACTTTACTTACTAGCAATTTGAAAATAAAATGGGAATCCATTGTTCATTAATTATCAACGAAAGGTTTAAACTTTAGTTTATTACGTCATGTCTATTAGGATGTAGTCAACGACGATGACGACGTCGCCCGACCGGAGGCCACGTTTCGCTTTACCGTGCACAACCTCGGCCAGTTGAAGGAGCAGGTGCTCTCGCCAGCGTGCTACATCAGATGCCTACCGTGGAAAATCCTGGTGCTCGTGCGCAACACAACGACACCGGATCGCCTGCAGCAAAAAGCGCTCGGGGTGTTCCTTCAGTGCAATGGCGAATGCGAGTCCCCGGGCTGGTCCTGCTACGGACTGGGCGAAATCAAACTCCTCTCGCACAAACCAGATGGTCAGCATCTTTGCAGGAAAGTCCACCACATGTACCACAGGTATGGCGAAAAGAGTCAATACAGTCGGACATTTGTTGACGGAAATTTATCACACTGACTGTACATCTGTAATTTGCAATATATCATCCGCGCATTCACAGTTATAGTAGTTGGGATTAACTAAATAGAAATAGTTGTATTTTTCTAAAACCAGGATGTATAATATATTACATTCATTGTGAATCTTAGCCTTTTACCTAGCTCTCGTATAAGTTAGGTAAATATTACGTTTCTATGTATTGGATATTCAATACGATTTTCACCTTTACGCAGCAAGGAGGATGATTGGGGTTTTGCGCAGTTCATTCTGTGGAAGGACCTGATGGATCCTGAAAATGGTTTTGTGAAAGACGACTCAATAACCATCGAAGCACATGTCATTGCAGAAGCACCGCATGGAGTATCATGGGATTCAAAAAAACATACCGGATATGTTGGTAATAAAGATTTTAGTTCGTTTCACACTTTCAGCATCGTTATAAATAAAATTGTAATTAACTTTTGTTTAAGGTTTAAAAAATCAAGGAGCTACTTGTTATATGAACTCTCTTTTACAAACGCTGTTTTTCACAAACGTTTTACGGAAAGCGGTGTATAAAATTCCATCCGTGGGTGACGACAGTTCACGGTCCGTCGCCTTCGCACTACAACGGGTCTTCTTCGACCTTCAATTCTCAGAAAAGCCGGTTGCGACCAAGAAGTTAACTAAAAGCTTTGGTTGGGAGACATTAGACTCTTTTATGCAACATGACGTACAAGAATTTCTTCGCGTAAGTTCGTTAACTAGTTTTATCTACTAAAATGTTACGCCTTCATATTGATCGAATTACCTTTTCTCAGGTCCTATTAGATAAGTTAGAGAATAAAATGAAAGGTACTCTAGTGGAAGGCACCGTTCCAAAGTTGTTTGAGGGTAAAATGACCTCGTTCATTAAGTGCAAAAACGTTAATTGCAGTAGTACTCGAGTTGAGACATTTTACGATATCCAACTAAGCGTAAAAGGAAAAAATAATTGTGAGTGTTTTGAGTGTTCCTAACATATTCATATTCTCATTATATAACTGGTATAAATGTAGTTAAAGCTAAATCGTGTAAAAAGTAATTCCATAACTTCTATAACCTCATCACTAATTGTTAATTAACTAGAGTCCTCGTCAAAAAATGCTATCTAAATCATTCCATCATCGATTGGATTATACAGGAAGGTTACAAATATTTAGTAATAATAATAATAATATATTTTTTTTTATTTAAATATAAACTATAATTATTTCAATGAATTGTCACTTTGGCCAAGACCGTTATGTGATTTTCCAGTATACGAGTCATTTAAAGATTATATTAGCACGGAAACCTTGGACGGGGAGAATAAGTACGATGCAGGGGAACACGGTTTGCAGGAAGCCGAAAAAGGAGTGAGATTTGATGAGTTTCCGCCTGTACTACATTTGCACCTTATGAGATTTCAATACGATCCGCAAAGTGATGCATCTGTGAAGTTTAACGACAGGTCAGCTGGTATAATTTTTCTATAAATAAGTTTACGGCCCAATCTTTGGAGAGTGGGATGAAATAATGTCGTGGCGATCAATGGAGTTTCCGAAGGAATTTTTGAATTGGTTAAAAATCTTTCGGTCAAATTTGTATGCGGTGGCTATCCACGACATACAAATTTGACAGGAATACACTACTAGCCACGTCTGAGGCTATATAGTTGTGGTAAAACGAATGTTCACCTTAACGGTCGTAATATAGACACTGTCCACACCGTTTAACTTATTTGTAGAGGACGTGGTAATCGATCCTTCTGTACTAAGTTCGGCGGGCGGGCTACATTTACATAATGTAATGTCTCCAAAACACATCCTTTTTTGATGACCAAAAGGAGAACGTTTGGTGTACCCTAATTCGTATGAAGCATAAGTCTGGTTATGTGTGTGCATAAAGACTGCATAAAGACTGTTTTAGAAAGATTTTAACTATAAATCTGCCGGCGGTTCTTTTTCTATGTGATTTATAAAGTCTCAAAGGCAAAGTGTTGTAGTCAGCTAAAGTACTTACTACGGCAACATTAACCTGTTTTTTGACATAGAGCTGTTGTTGTTGTTCCAGGAGTAGTGGTTTTTGGTCTTATCCAATCCTTATTCCATTCAACATAAGAATTTATCGTTTTCGTATATTTTAACATCATTACTAAACGTGTGTACATTGTTTCGGTAGGTTTGAATTCTACGAGGAGATCAACCTGGACCCTTATCTTCAGGAGATACCGCAGGTGCCAGCGCACTATACGCTGCACGCAGTTTTGGTTCATTCGGGTGATAATCATGGGGGGCATTACGTCGTTTTTATCAATCCTAAAGGCGATGGAAAGGTACATTTACGGAATTACTGTATTAATTTCTGTACAACGAAACATACTTCCTGTTATACGACGAAAGGGCACATCAAAATCTGATTTACCACTCTACAAGAAAGTAGATCGTAAAATCTGAATTTTTTTAGATGAATATGTTATTATGATAAAAGATGCCTTCTTCTTTCTCCTCTCCTTATCCCACACTATTTGAGGTTGGCACAACATGTTCTTTCCTTCCACTTTCCTCTATCAGCCATAATCTCATAATACTCATACTGAGGCTTCATATTTGTGTTCTATTTTAGTGGTGCAAGTTTGACGACGATGTGGTGTCGCGGTGCAGGAAAAAAGAAGCCATCGAGTATAATTTCGGAGGGAAGGAAGACGCACCATATTTGGCGAGACGAGCTACCAGCGCGTACATGCTCATTTATATACAGTAAGTCTTTATTTTCCTCCTCTTATTCCACCCAGGTGGGTCGGCACAACATGTTAATCATGTTGTAAGCGGTTTTGGATATATTTTTTTAACACCAGCCGCCTTTTTTATGTGAGAAAGTGGCAAAAGAGTTAGCGGTTCATCTGATTTTAAGTGAGAACTGCCGCCCATGGAATAACTGCCGCCTATGAACATTTGCATCAACCGTAGGGTTGCAAATGCGTTGCCACCTTTAAATAAATTGGGTCCTGGCTTGCTCACTCACCAAACGAAACGCACAAGTGTAACAACTCTACTTACCCCGGTCTTCTGTGAGATCGTGGTACTTATCCGGACGGACCTGCCCATTCGTGCAACAGTGTTGCGTGGCCCTACCATCCTACCAGCCGTCTGCCTGACGTCAACCCTCCTTAGAAAACAAACTGATCCACTGATCCAACCAGATCTGGAACAATTATCTGTGGGTCACACAAATACTTGCCCCATGTGGGAATCGAACCCGCGACTCCCCACGCCGAAGTTAATAGCTTGGCAAAGGCGCCACTGAGCCATCGTCTACATACAGTAAGTATCAGGTACAATAATGTTTTACAATTTATTTAAATAACCTTCTTTTTTATACATATAGAACGTCGCAGCTGAACTATGTCCTTCAAGATGTAACGGAGAATGACATTCCGGCAGATCTGTATGAGCGAATCAACGAAGAGATGAGATACGAGATGGTAAGAACATGTAAATATCGATTTCATGCATAGACACGTAGCTCTTTTTTTATTTTTGTTTTATATAAGCATACGATGTTGCGAATTTCAGGCGGCAGAAAAGTAAAATGCAGAAAAATTAAATCTGACACGTCAGTCAGCTCCGCGAAGTATTACGCGAAGATATTTAGTGCATTAAAACAATTCTTCACTTTGCAGGCCCTAGCTGGCTCTAAATATAAAGGAAGATAAAATGAATCTGGCCTCACCACTTAGTGATTGTTGTATATTTTTTTTGATTTTATTCTTTTTAAAAATTAGCAGCATGCCGATTGAGACTTTCGTGTAAATTCTACGAGTTGACGTTTTCTTCCCAAATCAACATATTACTGGACTAAACTATTTACTTTGTGTATATTCTGTTGTAATTATTTATGTATTTCTGTTAATAAATTGGTTCCGAAATCCAAAATATTTGTTTTATTTCGAAACTGTTTGTGTTATATACAATGGCACTGTTTTTCGACGGAATTTTTAAGAACTAACTTGAAATATGTTTGTGATAATATAATTCTTTAATTTTAAGTAACAACTGAAGATAAACCCCTGGTGATAAGATACTACATAATGATGATAAAAGGGTGCGGAAAATAGACTAAATTACAAATAATTAATGTTTAATTATAATCGCAATAAATTACACGAACACCAGGATCGTTACCAATCGTTTTTCATTTAAATTTGGGCAAACAAAACTTCAGATCTCTCCGAAATAATTTTCTGCGCATGAGGAAAAAAGGAAACGATGTTAATCCACGAATCCAAATTTAACGTTAAAATACCCACCTGAAATTGAAAAAATATTTTACATTTAAGTAAGTTATTGGAAATTAAAATACATTTCCAACAAAACAGAAAGCACAAAAGAGAATGGTTAAAAATATATAAGTATAGGTTGAGAAGTATAACTGAAACAAACTGTCACTTTGGGAGTGTTATTTAAAATGAAATACATACAACAGTTATATGTTAGATCCTTATCTACGAGAAAAGTATAAAAAATTAAAGCTAAGTGTACAGAATACTAATAAAGCAATTAACATTTCTAAAACTATTTGGCATTATAGGTTTTCCTATCTGGGTAGAGTTGCCTTTGATCAGCAGGGGGGCGCAAAAATAGCTGTCCTTTAAAAAGTAATGTATCAGCCTATAGTATCAGGTATAGTCCACCACGCGACCCCACTGCGGATTGGCGGACTTCACATATCTTCGAAATATCTACTTTTATTATTATTTCGAAAATATGCAGGTTTCCTCACGATGTTTTCCTTTACCGCTTAGAATGTGATAATTCAGCACTTAACATTAACAATGTCATTAGTGCCGGCAGCGGGGATCGAACTCGGGTTACTCGAGTATAATGAATTAAAGGCGAGCGCCCGGACACAGCCATCGCGGCTCTCAGCTGTCCTTTAATTTTCTTAAATTTTACAACTTACCTTAGTTTCCGCTCTATACGAGAAATAATGGGAAACCCCCCGATTCAAACCCTGAAGCATGCCGAACGCGTCTCCAGGGCCAAGTGACTCGTGTGTTGTCTCTGTCAAATCTACGCGTACAGATACCACGGACACCGTTCCCGATGCCACCCAGAACATGCGGGCCTCGCTGTCACCCGCCACCACTATGTAGTTACCTATTGAGTAGGACAGTCGATGAAAAACAAGGTAGGTTAAATGTACAAATATTAAGTCGAAGTAAAACAAGGCAGGTTAAATGTACAAATAATAATACAATGTGCATAACTTAGGTTAATGTACAAATTCATGTGCATACTAGCTGTGGCATGCGGTGCGGAGAGCTACAGTGTGCCCAAATTGTGGCGAAACGACTGGATCCCAAAAGACTGAAGTCTCTTTTTCAGTTTTTTTTTATGTAAAAATTTGACAGGCAAGCAGGCGGTTCACTTTTTTTACGTGAAAGGGTAGCAAACGAAACTTAATAATGTGGGCCCCGGCTACCTCACTCACCAGACGAAACGCAGAAGTGGAACACTTCTACTTTACGCCGGTCTTCTGTGAGGTCGTTCATACAATAGCGAACACTGTTGCGTGGTCCTACCACCGTTAACACTTTTTAAGGTCTTTTCAATAAAGAATAAATAAAAAAATTCTTACCGGGAAAGAAAACCGTGTAATTCAATGCAGCGCTTAACTGACGTAAGAACGGTTCACCGGTGTCAGAGAATAAGTAACAATTCCTGATATGGTGGCCAAACATCGCATTCATTAGGTCACAACGTAGTACATATGGTGTTTTTGCTAACAATTCTGGCAGCTGTGAACAGACAAACTTAAGTATTACTTTAATATTCTAGAGGATTCCCACAGCGGTGAAAAACTTTTCGTTCCTTTTTTCTACAAATTTCTTAGTTCGAACTATTGTTGTAAAACGATATTCGAAATTGTTTGTATGCTGGAAAGGATATAACAATGGATACGCCAAGTATCATTATTGCTTTAAATGCTAAAAAAACAATGGAGATAAAGAATTTTGAGAATTTCGTTGGTGTGGCAATCAGCCGTTTAGCTTAATGGCTAGAGCATCAGGGCGCGAATCCCGAAGACGTGGGTTCAATTCCCACGGCGGCAAAAAACTTTTCGTTCCTTTTTTCTACAAATTTTAATGTTTAATCTTAAGTGCAGAGATTAGCACTATACAAATTTAGACATTAAATGTAAGTAAATTATATATTTTCTGATAAACCTAGTCCACCCAGCATGTTGTCAAGAATGCTAGTTGCATTTCTAAGCTGAATAATTATACGTAATCTTTGAGCGAGAAAATAACCAGCCTTATAATTTTATCACCAGCCGCGGCGGTATTTATAGATAAGAAATAATGTGTTTACTACTACTGTTACGGGCATACTGCTCGTTCATAGAAAAAGTAATATAATGAGAGTTGGCATTGGGTAGTGATTAGGTGGTAGAAATGATAACATTCACTCTTTCTCTTTATAAACTATGATATTTATATAGAGAAAGAGTGCAGAATGCTAATATTTTTTTTAATTATGCATAAAATAGGTAACATTACACACACTACCATGTATTTGTCACACACACGCATATATAATCTTTTGTTTATTGTTTATTGTATTTGAGAATAGATTAATATTGTTGAACCTTGTAATTTAAATGAATTATGGGGGAATTTCGACCACTCTGCGTCCACTAGTCATAATAAATATACACTATGTACTGTTTTGCCGATAAATAATCATGTTATATAATTAGTGGCATCTAAAATATTGCTTCATTTTCCCTTAGCCTTTTGGGGGAATCATGAGAAATAAAATGAATAAAATAGGTGACTTCTACCTGCCGGCCGCGCTCATTCACCCAAAGCTGCCGCACGTATTTCCAGAACTTTTGATATTGATAATCTGAAATGAATATTTGTAGAGGGTGAAAAGTTACTGGAAATCACATTTGTGTGTGTCGAAAGAGATTGGACACGAAACTTAATTAGGATTCACTGCAAGCGAGGCAAAAGAAAAGATATTAATGTGGATTAATATCCAATACGCTTTACCTTAGTAAACTTTATTAATGCTCGATGGGGTGAAGTGGTGTGGAGAATTAAAACATTACTTTAGTAGGTAAATCTTAACTGCACATTCGTTTTATTTGTGTTTAAGACACTCATGATTCATGATTTAGTGGCTAGAACTTCTTTTGCATTGGCGCTCTTCAGTCGCGCGCAAAATTTGAGAAAAGGAAAATGTTCCGCTATACTTAATTTTTCTAAACTTTAGTAATCAGACTAAGCGACCTATTCATAAGGCGGAAAACAATTTGGTGTAGTTGCATTAACACAGGCGGCTCTCATCACTCCCAGCCAACAACCAACACACAGTTCCACATATCGGATCACGACGGCCCATAGGCGACAAGCTCTTCGTTGTTTTTATGCGAACATGTCCTGGCATCCTGGCGAATAGTCTTCGCTGTTGCACGATTGGGCAGGTCCGTCCTGTGGCACGACGTCACAGACAAACAAGCGAGAACTGGAAGTATTATATTTCTGCGTTTTTCGCTGGAGCGAGTCAGGGCCCAATGTGTTTTAAGTTGGCAACGCATCTGCAAACCTACGGGTGTGCTAATGTCGGTGAGCAGCGGTTAACATCTATCAGGTGAACCACCACCACGCTCACTTGCCACCTCACATAAAAAAACATCTGCGAGTGATTATTCTCTATCAAGCTCGTGGAAACCCAACCTCTCCACGAGTCCTGTGCCCAATGAAGCTGTATATTATAGTCCACTGTAGAAATTCATTGAAGAACAGTTCTGTTCACAAATTATCATCACCTACTCCATGATTGGGGCTATATCTTATCCTTTAAACGAGCAATTCTTGTATATATATATATATATATATATAATCGGAATCTCGGAGACGGCTCCAGCGATTTTCATGAAATTTAGTATGTGCGTAGATTCAGGGGCGAAAATTTGATCTAGCTAGGTTTCATTTTTAGAAAATGTCCTTTTATCCCTGTTTTCCGGGAATGAAAAATATCATTCGAAAATGACAGTAACACAGCAAAAAAAATGTTATAATTGCTCGGTCGGTAATGGGGCGGCCCCAAAGCAGACGGCCGCGGTTCGTATCACAATCACATTTATTTTCACTTATTTTTTTTTTTGCTTTTTTTTCTATACCTGATCATTTTCTTTATTTTTTTTATTTCCAAAATACATGATTTACCAAAAAAAAAAACCGAGCAAAGCTCGGTCCTCCAGGTGCTAATTTTTTTTTCATGTCAAGGCATCAAAAAACATCATCATTTAACCAAAAACATACTTTTTGCTTATCAGCCAAAAATGACCATAATATTATATTTAACATTCACCTGATAAGCCTTGGTTCTTCAATACGCAAATTAGTTCTTCAGTTCTCATTTCATAGCTGTTCAATGCGTATTTGGTAGAATAGGCTATTTGAATGGATGTGGCAACTACAATGGCCGCTAGCATTTTGCCACAAATAAGACAGAGGGCCAATATGGCCATTGGAAATATGTTACTGATGTGGATCTCGTCGCCTCCGGTTCCAGTGAGTTCTGAGATGACTAGATATAATGATGTTATATAGTCCCAACGAGATTGAGGCGTATCTCTAAAACAGAGAGATAAAACAAATTTAGTGGACCTATTTTAAGCGTTGCCATCGACGATCGATTTTATGGGATCATTTCATTTTCATTTTCATTCATTTCCATATGAAAATTATGTGGCAAGTTTGCTATGTAAGAGTCTACTACTGTTACGGGTATACTGTTCGGCTTGAGACATTTAGTTACATTTTATATGAATAAGTGCACTTACTCTTTCGTATTGATTTATATCGCTACTTACTCATCGATAAGATGCATTTTCATTGTTCTGATGAAGTTGACGGGCGAAGTAGCAATTAAGGTCACTAGCCAGATACAAGTAAATGTGTGTATGAATAGCACAACTAGCAACGATGTCGTCACCACCTGTAAATTGTACATCTGATGATGTAATAATCGATAATAATTTAATGGAACTGGTGGGGAATCCACCAAAAAAGAAACTGGGTTAAATAGTCTCATTGACAAAACAAAAATATGAAAACCAAGCTGTATAGACCGATTTACAGTACCTGTAATGTCGTAAGATTGTTGGTTAATTCGGCAGCAGTTTTGTAATAGAAGTCGTAGATATGTTTGAGTCGCAACAATTTGTGGGCGCGTAGGTAATGCATCGCTTTAAGTGGTTTACTGTGAACAAAACAAATATGATTACTTCTGGTATTCCAAAAACTACTGCAGGTCATATACAGAATATTGCTGCAGTAACATTGTAGATTATAAATTTTTTTTAGTATTTTCAGGGTAGATAGATTTGATAGATTAATTAGTCTGAATGTTTTTATGTTAAGTTTAACTTCGAAGAAAGATAACACTGGTAGTGACGCAACAAAATGAATTAACTGGTATTTAATGAACTTTGTGAGACATTATAGGGGTTTATAATTATGGGTAAATATTTTCTTACGGAAAACAAAATCCAAGTAACTCTAGCGGAAAATTGGTGAATATATCCGTCCAGACCCATAATTTGTGTTTTAAATATCTCTTTCTGCATTTGTAGAGGCTTAATATCAATTCTCCGTGTTTGTTGAGATATCCCTGTCAACAAAATAGTGTTATTATTAGGTGTGTAAGAATTTAATTGCTTCAAAGCCAAAGATCCTTGGACACCGAGTTCATCATAAAATCTAATGTACCAATAAATAAACCGGCCATGTCTGTTGCATGGGAGCCCCACTTAAATACTTTTATTATTGTGGTTTTTACTATTTGTTGTTATGGTGGCTACAGAAATACATAATCTGGGAAAACAACTGTCTTACTATTACGATTCATGAGATACAGCCTGACAGACAGCGGAGGTTTAATAACAAGGTCCCCGTTTTATCCTTTGGGTACTGAACCTTAAAAGAACTCGGATAAATCTTTAAATTATCATGTATATACCTGATGCATGTACGAAAAGATTTTGATGTAAAAAAATACGTCAAACATGAATTGCAGCCAGAATATTATGGGACAGTCATTCAGCGTCACAATTTCGTATAAGATCAATATATAATTAGCCGTTGCTACAAGACATGTTAGGTATCCGAATGCCTGAAATAATCATAAAATCAGCACATAATTAAAAATCACTTATATCGAGTATCTTCGTTGAGTATAATAATTGCTATTAGCCGCACAAGTATTCTTAACTTTAATTGATATCTTATCTTTCAGTCTGTAGACTAATAAAGGATCATCGAACGCAGAATTCGCAGGCCAGCCAGAACCCACGATCTTGATACTGGCTTCTGCGTTACGTTAAGCTTTTGTGCAAGCGTATGCTGTCTTTGGGGAGGAATGACAACTATTAGCCATCTAGATTCAAGGATCGTGATCCTGATGGCTGGTGTAATTCATAATGGTACGAAAAGGTCACATGACGTAACTCATTGTGTCCATTACATAATTAAATTTAGTTCAAAAATAATACAGAAAGAGTACGTACGGGTCCAATTTAAAAAAAGACAATGTTATAATGTGAAAATCACATTAATAGACCAGAAAAGTCGCTATCTATCAGTAGGATTTTTAAATTTTTGTACACAAATGTTGAACAGCAGGATCAAAAAAGTTATTTAAGATCATAAAAATTAATAATTAACTTACCTGAAATAATAAAGTTCCAGGTCGAAGCAAATTTGTTATGTGCAAAAGACTCTGATAACTTATTACACTTGCCGCAGATTTTGTTTGGCTTATATTAGAATGCGAGCTATGTAGTGACATTTGTCCGACTGTAATATTAAAACAATAAGTTTAAAACAATTAAATCAATAGTAATAGAAAGTTGTACGCTTATGAAATAATCTCATTTACGTGGGAGTTCAAATCGACTGGAGCCGCTTCTGGAATCTACAGCCGAATCTTGCGATTGTAAATCGAATTCAGAGTCTTCTGAAATTTGTTGAATTGATTTTAATTCATTGATTCGAAACGACACTTGATGGTAGATGGTCGAATGGAAATAATTTCAAACTACCCGAAGACTCGTCATCGCTGCCTGTATCCATTGTAATTGGCAAAATGTAATCTTTGGACACTTCGAATGCCTTCCTTAGAGGTTCTTGTATTTTGGGGTAGAATTTTATTAGGTTGAAGAAAGTTTGGCTCGGTATAACAAGCAAGTCCACACTTCTGCTGGCGTAAATGGATACTTCCGAACACGACGCCGATTGCTGTAAATTTCATTTGAAAATAATTGCAAATTTGAAAGTATTTTAAAACTAAAAGGGAATGAAAACGCACGCCTGTGAAATTCCCGAACATTCCACCCGGTCCCATACACGTTATCATTTCATTGTAAGTGCTTAGTACATCCACCTAAAAAAAACATATGTAATTGAAAATTTGTAGAAAAATGGATGGTAAGTTTTTCGCCGCTAAAGTGAAAAAATCTAAAGAGCAGTTTTATTACAGCAATTATATTACACTCTATAATAATAATACCATAGAAATAAATATAATTTAAATATGTGATTAAGCTTTGCATTATACTCGAAAGTTTAAAAATTTTTAAATTAAATAATAATAAATGTAAGATTTCGCACCTTTCCTCTGTAAATTATATAAATGTCATTCTGTACGTCTTTGCATTGGATGACGCTATCACCTTTGAGAAAATACATTTCGTGGAGATGTTGTGTGATGACTCTAATAAATGATCTTTCTACTCTGCCGAATAATGGCACCTCCCTCAAAGCTCTTTCATACATGAAAACTAACGTGTCTTCCATCAATGCGGAGTTTAGACCTCGGCAAATTTGCTAGGGCCAAAATGAAAAATGTTCATTATTGTTTTATTTGCTATATAACTAATATCAGTTTCATATTCAATATGAAAAATGTATTTACTTGCGGATTGCTACCATTCGTTCTTTTCCAAACATACTCGAAATATTTCAGTGATTTTAAAGTGATAATGGGATCTATGTTTTGTTGGTATAGGAAGTTAGCCAAATCTTTAATTTGTTCCTGAAATAGCAAGTTTGTTATTTCAAGGTTTTACACTTTTTTATAAATCAGAATAAAATAAGTTGAATTGTTTCTTTCAGTATTTCCGAACCGGTAGTAATACTTTGACAATAAAAAATCAATTGTAATGCTTCTATTGAATAAAAATATTTTAATGGCCTAATGGCTGGGGATATCAAGATGTTGCGAATCTAAGTGGCGTGGTTTCATTTCTGATTTCTAACAAAAAATTACAATACAGTTTTGTTCGGTGCTCACTATTATTCCACATCAAAAATGTTTTTTAATAAATATATAATTGGAGTAAATGGTGTAACAGCTTGTTATTATACCAAATGCCGTAAGTTTGGACTAAAATTAAAATTTTATATTATTTTAAATAACCATACGGTATGTTCTAATAAAGCGTGAGATGCAGTTGATTGCGTAGATGCTATGTATCCGAACATGAAGCCAAAATATAAAGTTCCAGAAATTTGTAACATCATTGTTAGCCAGACATCTGCTTTGTTCGATAATGTTACTGGAGTACAACCACAGCCTACGAAGAATGAAATAGGTTAAAAAAATAAATTATTAAATAAAAACTGGTAAGGTCACTTATAATAATTGGCTGTAAATTGTTATTTTGAAAAATACTCTCACCTACGAAGAGCTCAAATACCCAGTAGAATGTATGAATATATTCGGTCACTGCATCTGTAATTTAGAACACAAAACTACCGTTTAATCTGACATCTTGTTACAGTAGCAAACGTATACGACAATTTTTGTACTTACATCTTATCTCATATTTGCTACCGGATATAACAAACGACCTACTGCAGTTTACCATGACGTAGAATGTATCAGCTGGTATGAAGGGATCACAGGAATTGGTAAAAATAAAAGCAGCGGCGGAGTTAACCAGGGTGACAAGAATTGGTAGGAACTTTAATAATACAACTGCTTGATTTATTTGCATTATGTCATTTTCCCAATAGGTGAAGGCTCCTAATATCCTCGTTACCTTAAACCGGCAGTTGGATGGTTATCTTAAATTGCATTCTCTTTTTAAAGATATAAAGCAATGTTATTTATATCTGATATTTACGAATTTCCTGACTTACCAAAAGCATACGGTTCAATCTATAGAGATCTGAATCGGAGTGTTCATTTATTATGCTAGACTGTAAAACGAAAATGCTGTTGATAATTATGTACTCTCTTTTTGTTTACAATTTTTTTTAGTGAGTCATTATGACGGATCACTTACCAATAGTTCAAATGGAAAGATGCTGATAACGTCCAAGATAAACGCGTGTTTTAAATAACGTGTAACTGTAAGCAGAGGATGTGTTACTAACAAGGAACGCTGATCGTAATATGCTACATAAGCCATTACAATAATGTCTATATATAGAAATATATCTGTCCAGTCGTATATTTTCCCGTACTTATGTTGTTGCGTCTGAAAAGCTTATAATTAATCACATTGTAATTATAAGAAATATATTTTGATGTAATGTATATTATCTCTAAAACTTACAGCAATATTATAGGGTACTAGCAGTATATAATAGACTGCCAGTAGTAATCGCAAAGTGCACCAAAATTTCAAAAAGATTCCGTGTGGAGTAATACATATGGGTAAAAATATGTAATGGATAAACCTGGAAGGACAGTAAAAATTAAACAGAATACGAAATATCATAATATATGTAAACAGTTATGAGTTAAGGTTGTAATTGTATATTTGTAGCATTACTTCAATACTCCCAATTTTTCAAATGCTTTTAGATAATGCGTCTTCACTTCGTGGCCGCCTATTATAATGAAACTGTCTTTGATTTCTTGCTGTAAAGAAAATTAACGTTATTTAGAGTAATTCTTTAAGTCTACTCAAAGGTATATAGACACATGAAGTTACCGTAATTCTATTCATTTTAGTATCTAGTCTCCCCGTAAGTGGTTTCGCATTTTCAAAATTTGCCGCTAGTTTAACGATGTCGGGGTCGTTTAGGACCTTTAAAATTAAATTGTATGTTTATACAATTTATAATATATGTAATAAGGATGCTTATCCTACTTACAAATATAATTTTTTTAGAATAGGGATTTAAAATACCATCATGATCGTGTGACTGATATCCGGAAAAATACTCCAGCATTGAACCAAGGCTCGGTATTCGAGATGTAATAAAATACAATTGGTTGATGTTATGACCGTATGTACCTGCAAGGTGTAAGGTTAAAAAATAGTGATAAGGTTTTGGATGCACATTTTAAATTGGAATCAATTCGCGCACATAGATAGGTGGCGGTTGAATATATTAATGGTCGATTTGAAAAACTTTTCATTTATAATAAAACGGCAACAGTGAACTGTTGTATGGTCCTACCACAGAACCATGATTGTATTGGAACTTACAGAAGACCGGAGTGAAGTGGAAGCGTTATACTTCCGCGTTTCGTCTGGTGAGTGGTGCTGGCCGGGGCCCACTTTATGAAAAGATGGCAACGCATCTGTAACCTTACGGGTTGCGGTATCTCTTAGCATTAGGTAAACCGCCATCTCGCTTGCCACCTTATCACATAAAAAAGTTAAACAATTATTATAAATTTAACTTTATATTATAAAACTAACTTTTTTTTTGCACCTCAAATTCGTTAAATATGTATAATCTTAAAAGAATTTGAGGTGCGATTTATACATATATGTAATGAAAGATCGCAATAGGAATGATAATAGAAACTAAATAGATCGCAACAGACAAGATAAAATAGAATAGAAGTATCAAATATAAATTTTTAAAGGACATTATATTTTGTATTGACATTCTTTTCACTTGTAAACTTTGTTTTTATTACATGTTAAACAATGTTTGGCGCTGTCTACTGTTGACGTTTAGACAAAACGATCGCTTATTAAACGGTTTTATTTAGCTCGACCCGTACGGAATTTGTTTGGGTCAAAATTAGAAATTGAAATTTAAGCACCTTGCCGTTGTCAGATTGATCTGAAATTTGGTACACACATTTTATTTAGATGACAATACAATATTAACAAAATTTAACAAAAAAAACATAAAATAAAACCGTTTAACTTAAAAGTTTTTAAACGGTTTTATTTTACAATTAAATATTTGAAAACCAGACATGACGTATTTGCTATTAAATTGTTAGTGCTATTCTCTAATTATTTGAAATTTATAACTTGTACAAAACTGGATAAAAAATGTTTTATCCATTTTTCTGAAAAATTTCAAATTCTGTAGTTGACGCCAAACATCGCTAAAATGCATGTAGATAAAATACGTTCTGCTTTTGTCGGTGTAAAGATAATTCGTTAAGCTCAGTGGTTAGAGCATCGGGCGCGTATCCCTGAGGACGCAAGTTCAAATTCTCGCAGGGGTAAAAACTTTGCCACGGTATTTTGCCGGTCGAGATGGCCATTTGGTGCAGCAGAAGAAGTTGTCTAAACTGTTGCTGTTCTACTTTGCGTAAAACGTTTAAATTAGTTGCAAATGCTTTACTTAATTAAGACTATAATTCGTATTTCTTATGTTGAGATACGGTAATATACTACGATTTTTCTGCCTTGCGAAAACTGAGCGTGTAAGCTGGTGTTCAATAATTTTAACGTTTATATAGAAAACAAGAAAAAGTTCTAAAGTGGTATGAAATCTTTCAGCTTAAATGACCATTATGTTTCAGAAATAAAATCAAAACAAATTGATAAAAAATTGTGTACATTTTATTAGTCGGTAATTTTTGTTCGAAAATGTTATGAGTTTCAATAGTGTAATAGAAAAAGGAAGGTTATTGTTACCTTTGGAAGTCCAAATAACATTTCAAATACACCAAATCGGCTTCCAGGTCCACTGTTGTTGATAATAACTCCCTTGTTATTTATAACATTGCAATGGCCCTGATAAATTAAATTTGATGAATCTATTTTTACAGATTATATCACGTCCGATTCCTTGTATAAACATTTTGAATTCATTGCAGCATCACCACATGTTCTCGTGAATAATCGCCAGTATTTCAACACTTACGTGTCGGTTTAAACCGATTTAACATTTTAAAAGATTCGCGTTAATGCAAGATAACATTTGTAAAATAGATTTATGATACAACATCTGTACTATTAATTTTGCAACTATCAAAAACATCAATATTGCTATCGCCTAAAGGTAATCATTTAATACGATATGTATTTCATATTAAGCTGAATGGATATGGAAGGTCATCTTTTATCACATCAGCCAGACGTCAGCATTACAAAGAGGCTATTCTGATAATTGAAATAAAGAAAGAGAGGCAGATTGTTTTCAATGTTAACATTAACTTGATGTTTTAACTTACTTTTTGCAATATATACATATCTCTACCAATGTCCCCAGCGTGTTGCACAATTTCATTATCCGGTAATACTATTGTCTTTACTTTTGATGCTACTGTTTGTAAGAAATCGTGACTGGATTCCTGAAATTGAATGAGTCTATTTTATGTCTTTAATCTCGTCGAAGAAAAGTATGCTAGAAATTGATTTCATGAAAAATAAATTATACGTGAAAGATGTAAAATATCTTTCTTAACGAGAGCAAATTTGTAATTTCATATTTTCGTAAGGAACGCTAAGCACTTTATCTAATATTTTTATCTTAAAGTAAAGTAAATTAACAGTCTATATATGTCCCACTGCAGAGCAAGGCCTACAGAGGACTGTACAGAGGGTATTAGGGCATGGTCCACCACGGAATATCACCGTGGATTGATGGAATCACATAACTTCGATATTTTTTAAAAATTTTACTTTACCTAAACCGTTGAGCACGGTTACAAGTCAAGGACTTAAAATGCTTAATTTTCAATTAACAACAACAACAATTAATATTCAATTAAAAATTTAATTGGTGCCGTCACTGGAATTTGAAGTCAGGTTGAGTATAGTAGGTAGTATATAGTAAGTAGGTGAGAGAAGAGAGAGTATATTGGATTAGAACTCAATTTTAAAAACGGTACAAATAAGTTACAATTAGTTACTTGAAATATAATGCTGAATTGCAATGTCTCCACCATTTCTAAAGACAATATTTCTTGTTTTAGATTTGGAGATATGTCTTTGAAAATCTCCTCTGCTGACACCGCATTGTTGTAATACCTGGTGGATTTTATAAAGAATAAAAGCTGTTTGGCATTAACTGAATACTTTTATTTTATGTTGACAGTGATAGTTTATTCTTAATAGTTTTATTGCTATTGGGCTAAATAGCAGCTTCTGTTGCTGAACTAATGGGTAGGCTTTTCAGGGGAAGTACGACTTCACAGAATACCGGCGTGATATGGAAATATTGTATTTGGCGTCTCTACTCTACCTTCTTGATGTTCATGGGCGGTGGTAATTGCTTAAGATCAAATGAACCACCTGGTTGCTTGTCACCTTCTCAAATAAAAAAAAAGTACTGCGTATTTGTAACAGACGAATATAATAACAAAAATTGATTGCATAAATTATATTTAGTTGTTAAAAAGTTTTCAACATCTTACCATTGCACACAGAAAAATTTCTTCACACGGGCCTTGATTTTACCACTAACGTGGTTAACAGATAAGAAGTAAAATAGTTCCCTCATTGACTCCTGATAAGAAAAAAGTTGGATTGTAATTGGCTTTCATAATAATTGTGAACAAAATTTAAGGGAAGTCTATTTTCTAGGCTCTGGGAAATGTCTCAGTGCAAGTCTGTTCAAAAGGAATTCATGTTATACTGCGTAACTGGCTGAAATACCGTGGTATAAAAACAGTTAAAACAGTAAATATTTAATACTTACCTTGAATTTTAACTTTCTCTGTGTCAATAATAAGTACACACTACAAATTTTGGACATATAAAAGCAGCTCAAATAGCAACCGGCGACAAATAAACAGATGACCTGAAAGTTAATTAAGCAGATCTGCAATTGGCGCTTTACTTGTCATGTACTCCTTCAGTTGCCAATAGGATCCTATTTAACAAGTTCTCATGATGAATTTCACAGATGAGCAATTAATATTTATGGGTGCAAAGGCACAGAACAGCTAATTTGTGCAATGCAACTGTTGTTACTATATATAACTTTACGTTATCGTTAATTTTAATAATTTTCTATTTAAAGCAATCCTAAAGTCTATGTTCAAAATTTCTCGCTCATATGATTTTTAACTTTTTAATTTTCAATATTTGCGTACCCTGCAGATATTCCCAAAACATAACCGTTTCTGACCTTGTTCCGTAAGTTAAAAATATATATAATCAAGTAAAAGTTTAGAAACATCAGTAGTACAAATCTATCATATAATGTACATATTACAAACTAAAAATAACTATAATCTTTAAAGTTTATATATGACACTAACCAAAATTAGATCTCTCATTCCTGGTGCTAAATCGGACGTTCCGTTACCCGTGAAAATGGACGTTCCGAATGACAATGAAGTTCGCAATGGCTTTTCATGTTTAGCGTCATTCGTAACGAAAACTTTTGTTTCCCAGTGAATTAATTGAGCCATCCAAGAGCTCTGTAAAGTTCAGATTATGTGTGTTTATTATAGTATATTATATAGTAAATTATTGTATTATCTGCTCAACATTGAGCTTTTCAAGGTCCAGCTAATTGTGATGAAATATGGTCACCCTATTTAAGATGCAATTTATGCTATACATATAGTTAAAATTGTACAAATAGAAGCAATATAAAAAGGTTTTTTAGTTATATCAATGTCTTTTTATTCTTCGTACTATATACGTTTTGATATTGTTTATTTTATCAAAAGATATATAAATTAAATATTAAAGTTTTAACGTAAAACATATATGGAAATCTCCGTATCTAGATAAAATACAGACTATCTACTATCTACATGGCTACTAAAGGAAATATTTATCACACGCAACTGTCTTCTCTGTTGCACGAATGGGCAATTAAAGTGTTGCAAATGTCATGGGCGGTGATTATTACTTAACATCAGTTGATCCGCCAGCTCGTTTGCTAACTTTTCACATAAAAACATCAGTTTAAAGTACATATGTCTTTCTTTTTTTTAATGAATACGTGAAATGTGAAAATGAGATCAAATATCATATAAACCTCTATGCACAGCTTCCTGGGACACGCTATGAGGTAAAGTATACATCCCGACCAGTAACAGTAAATTGAAAATAGTAGACTGTACTTCAATATGCTTATAAACTGCAATGAAGATTACATTAAAATTAAAATATTGGCACTTATATATTTAAGACAAATGGTAAAAGGTACGGTAAAGTTGAAAATAGAGAAGTAAAGATTTCCATTTTAAGTATTTTTAAGAGGTTTTTTTATGCGCAAAGTTGTCAAGCAAGCATATGGTTCACCTGATGTTAAGTGAATACCGCCGCCCATAGACATCTGCTACACCCGAGGGTTGCAGATGCGCTGACAACCTTTTGAAAATTGGGCTCCGGCCACCTCAGTCACCAGACGAAACGGGAAAGTGTTATTCTTCCACTTTACGCCGGTCCTCTGTAAGGTCGTGGTACTTATCCGGACGAGCCTGCCCATTCATGCAACACGCGAGCCTGTTGCGTGGCCCCACCACCGTATAAAATTCAGAAAAGTCGCGGTGAAAGGCGCGACTTTTTTGACTCCACCAGAAGTAAGGACTCTATGGATATGTTTTATAATTTCAATATAGTAAAATCGTGTGACATTATTACTAATTGGAAATAAAACTATTACATAGGATTAATTTATTTTAAAGATTCTGACGGTTCACACTTTACGAGTACAGCATCCACTATCATATCGTTTGTTTACAGTGTGTATTGATCGCGTTAATCGAAGAAATTATATATTTTTTTAGTAATTATGAACAAAAAAGACGTGTAGAGTATTCAGAATGGTTATAGACAAGATTTATCGATTATTTATTTATTGCACATCCATTAAGTAACATAAAGGTGTTAAAATAATTAGTAAAACAGTTCTTTATGGACCCTGTTATAGGGCATAGTACAAAACAAATCGAAACAAATTCGGAGGGAGCAAAATGTATCACATAGGTAATTTAATGAGGTACTTTATGGTATTATTATTATTGATTACGAAATGTTATGCTATACGAGGAAATCATGGACACTTCGATTCGATTATACAGGGTGGCTTTTCTAAAGGTGCTCAAATTAACACTGGAGATTCTGACTCAGTTGTATAATCGTTTATTGAAATAAAAACAAACTTTTTTTTTTCAAAAAATTGCCATTCTATTCCCTTAAAAACAGAACTTGTTGACAATGCGGTAGTCATTCATAAATGCGTCGTGCACTTTTGAAACGAACTTGTGTGTGTTACTTATGAATGATCGCGCGTAAAATAAATGAGTTGAACATAAATTACGCACATTTTGAGATACTAAAAATTAATGTAATTGATTAATTACGAGTGATCTTAAATATTTATAATTTTTATTTAACATTATTTATGTCTAGAATTTAACTAAAAAAATGGATGCACTTAGAAAAACCTCCCTGTATACGAAGAAATCATGGACACTTCGAATATACCAATAAATCATGGACATTTAATTTCAATATGATTATTTTGAATTTTATTACCTTGACGGACACGTTGAAATTGTTCTCAAATTTTGTTAAATAATCCCAGATATGCCATACCTGAAGAATGGGAAGTAACGTGACTAGCTGACTAATTATAGACTCCCTTTTTATGTCCAAAGTATCAGTAAATATATGTGCAGGAAAAATTGATATTATGTCTAGATAAAAACCCACAGTCGCCATTTTAATTTCGGTTATCTCTTTAACTGTGGTTTTTATTGAATTCTGAAACACGCATGTTAATATTATTAATTTCTTTTTAAATACTTAAATGCTTTGGAGTATAGATACCGTTATTAATTTGTATTTTTTTTGTGAGGAGGTGGCAAACGAGCGGGCGGTTCACCTCATGTTAAATAATAACCGCCGCCCATTGACATTTGCAAACCCGTAGGGTTGCGGATGCGTTGCAACAGCGAAGACTGTTGCATGGCCCTACCACCGTTAACGTATCACCACGAAACGTAACGTACTTAAGTTAGACTTAGCAGACACACATGTATCATAATGAAAAATGTTACAAATATAGTAACATATAATTTTATAAATCTTAAAAATCAAAATGTGGAGATAAAAATGTCGAAAAATTTTTCTCCGCTACCAGGAATCAAACCTGTGCGCCTTCCGGATTACGCGTCAAATATGAGGTAGATAATATGTCATGAGGAGTGTCGTCAAACCATTAAAGGTTGTATTAGCGTTACTTTTTTAATAACTATAAAATAAATTACCTTCTCTATAACAGCTGTTGTTAGTTGTATGTAAATATTTAATAGCAAACCAGTAAAGACTACAGTGCTCATAACTTTCTCCCAGTCGTTCTGTGTATTTTGTATTGCCAAGTACGGTGACATTATACACACGTATAGAACCAACAAAAAATGTGCTATGTCAAACATTTGCGTCTGAAATTAGTTCACATCTATGGTTAATTAATAAATATTTTCATTTTACCAAAAAACGTATGTAATTGACCGTAAAGTATTGTTGTTTTACGGACAAAATCGGTATTGGGTTCAAGAATCCACGGAAAGTTCGAATTCAGACAAATGTAAGGTTCATCCATTGTTGTCACATTCTCGGAAATTTGGTAAAGCTCCAGATATTCTTTCGTAAATTTCCTTTGACGAACGTTGTTTTCATCTGAAACAACGATGAAATTGGTCATTGAGAAACATTTCGAGATTGAAACATTCACCATAAAATTTTACCTCGGTAATATAAATGAGAATCGTCTACGAAAGTTGAATCTTCCTCTTCGAGTCCCGACAAATGCTCTTTAAACACTTTCATGGGCCGATAACGCGTTCGAATGAGTCTTGAATCGTCTTTATCGTATTTCGTTATTGCTTTCTAAAAGTTATACTAATTTATAATATAATAAATCTACTTATCTATAATTTAATAACTATGATTTTTTACGGTCGGGCCTCGCAGCCGCTTCTACTATTACAGAATGGGCAAGCTCGTCCGAGGAAGTACCATGGCCTCACAGAAAACCAGAATGAAGTGGAAATGTTTCCATATATATATTTTCGCGTGTCCTCTGGTGAGTGGGGTAATCGGGCCCACTTTTTTCACAGGTTATCGACATATTGGCTAGCCATCGGGTGTTGCAGATGTCCATGGGCTCACTTAACATCACTTAACATTAGGTGAAGCATCCTACTCGCTTGACAACTTTATTTCACATTCTAAATATATATAAATAAAGCTAAACAGTAAGTGTACCAAATTATTTTTGCTTAATTAATCGTTAGTACTTTTTTATATTTAGTTGTGCATCGTGTACAGCCGACAAACATAAGACTTTTTACAATTTGGAACTCGGAAATGGGCATGGCACTAATTATTACTTACAATGTTGTGATTGAAAGACACGACAATGTCTAAATTGTGGAATTAATAAATATAATTTGAAAAGAAAAATGGATTCGTGTGATTAGATTACTGTTTTCAGATTAATGGTTCACCTGTCTCTGTTTCGAATTCAAAAGTCGACTTTCCACTTTAGCGCGTATCTCATTGAGTCGCACCGGATTCTCATGCATTGCTCTCATAAAGTCAGTCCTCGGTAAAACCTAAAAGTTTACAGTCAACGAAATGAAGTATTACAAAAGTTTCTTCGATTTCTTCTTAAATTGGAGTCATGACTTTACAAGGAAGGACCTTCACCTGCAACTCTACGTATGTCGCAGCTCTTACAGTCACCTTCGCGGGTATCGAATAAAATAAACAAATTTCTCCTAGAACCTGAAATGAAACATGAAAGATCGCAGGGAAAGAAAACTGCTTTAGTAAACACGACAAAATAAGAAATGTACTAACGGTACCCTCTTTAAAAGATACCATTGGACTTTCATCGTCTTCATCTGATAACAACTCAAGAACGCCCTTCTTAATCCAAATCATTCCATTTTTGACTACACCCTGGCACCAAACTTGTTGGCCGGTCAGATATATTTCGTGTCTCATTAGCAAAGATATTTGACGCATAAATGCTTCACCTGCAAGTTGAAGAACATAACAAGAGATAGTTATTACTTATCAAATAAGTTTTTATATTGATTCGTCGATAACCTGTGAGGAATACGAGTGGGAAAAATTGTTCTCTTTTTCGAAACAGACAAAGATCAAACAACGAAAAATTCACATTTACAATTCTAATCTTTTTACAATTCTAATCTTAAATAAATAAGATATACGGCTTACCACAATCTCTGAAAAGTAATGATTCATGAAAGTGTCCAACATTTATGTCAAAAATTAATTCCATCTGCAACGGTATTGGTAATTGTCGGAGGTAATGCGTGCTTAATATCCCATCCTTGATCTTCCACAATTGCTTCTTATATTTTTCAGTCTGCTCGATAAGAGAAGGTGGGGCACCGTGAAATTTCAAGTACTTAATCATATGGTGGTACTGGAAAATATATTTGAAGACTGGAAAATATATTTCTTTATGGTAGGAGTTGATGCAATATTTATCGCTGAGTACTATAAATGTGTTGCAATAGATGTAACTGGATTCGGAGGGTAGATTCGAATTAGGCCACCAAATGCTAAATAACAATGTAGAAAGAAGGCGTTAAGATTTTCGTCGCTGTGGCTATCAGCCGTTTAGCTCAGTGGCTAGAGCGTCAAGCCGCGAATGCCGAAGACGTGGGTTCGATTCCCACAGCTGTGACAATCTTTTCGTACTTTTTCTACATGTTTTAATGTTCAATCTTAAGTGCAGAGAATAGCACTATAAAAAACTTTAAAAAAGAACTTATGTGATAGATAAATATGTTATGAAAATGTGAAAAAATAAATCATCGTAACTAATAAGAAGATGTAAAAATTGTTTTTTTACTCACTCGATCTACAAATGTATACCAAGGACGTCTTTTAAGGACCTGTTCCCAAGTTAAATTACCAATAAAATGGTATCGGAGGAAAACAAAACCAAACAGCATTAGAAATAATGTTAACAACTTCTCTGAGTATTGCTGAAATAAGGCAAACATAAATGAACCATAATAATTAATAATAAACGGATTTATTCTGATTGAACTCTTACCAAGGGAAAGGAGTCGCCAAAAATAACATTGAATAAGCGACATGCACAATAGTACCAACAGGATTCATAACTGCAATTACATTTGTTTAAATTTAGCAAGTTGTGTTAACAACGTTAACATTCTTTTGGTGAAAAACTACTCTGATTTTTTTATTGAAAATGTTGAACAGTACCTATAGCTATACTAAAGCTTTTAAAAATTGAAGAGACACATTTAGCCGTATATTAGTATACCTGTTTGCATAAAATTAAAACTATTAATCGTAGCAGTATAAAATTACAATAAGGTACTTTTTACAACTATATATTATGCATTAAAATTGTAAATACCGGTTGAATTGCAGTTTATTTGCATTGACATGATCCGGGTAACCTAGTTTGTACCATTCTTTAATATTAAACTGCACTTTATGTGTCGAGTACCACAAGCATGAGCTGGCGTGCAATATTAAGATCACCGATAGAGCATGTTCTAAAATATATATGTTCTTGCGAGAGCTTCGCATCTGAAATAAGATTTTTAAAAAATATCAATGAAGTGAAGGTTTATTTCTAACACAGATCACATATTATCATCCTTCTGCCCTTATCCCACGTAGGTGGATCAGCTCAACATGTGGATCGTGTTGTAAATGGTTTCGGCAATTTTTAATACCGACCGCCTGCCCGACGTCAGCCCTATGGGAGTAAGCATCCAAATCCAGAACAATTATCTGTGGGTCACATAAATATTTTTGGTAATCGAGCCCACGTCCGTAACCATTAGTTTACCATCTGCGCCACCGAGTCACTTAGTTACATGAAAACAAAATACAAGACGTACAGTTTCTTTGACTGTTGCAAACATCGTATACATTCTATATATTCTTCCGAAATCTAACCAACTGGCCGTCTTCGTGTATATTTCAAAACCCTTCTTGTATTTAACTGAAAGAAATTGGCAATTATTATTATTTCGATTAGTCTGTAGAGAATTATACCTTCATATAGGCATGTATAAATTTACTTACGAATGATTGAGAGTGGTGCTAAAGATATGACATCATAAAGTAGGACGAGATGATTTCTTTTAAACACGCGCATATTTAATCTCACCATGCCCCAGAAATTGTGTAGTAAATGTAAAACGACGTCAGTCAAAAACATTATTTCGGCCACAACGAGCGTCACGTCTAATAATAAGTGCGATGTCTTCAGATAATAGGCAATCAAGAGATGGAGAACAGATTTGTAGATGATGGTCAACAGAATGAAGACCTAAAATACATTTCAGTCAACACCACAGTAAACACGTCTTTTAACGCAAATGCGAACGAAATAGTAACTGTAATAATGAACCTGTTTTAGCACATATAGATTCTGTCACAGTATACCAGAAATAAATATGCCTTACATTTGAATTTGTGTTAAAGAAGTCCACTGGTCCTGATTACGGTTTCTTATCACAAGTACTGTGATAAGAAGCCGTAACCACAGATCATTGTGGCAGGGCAACAGTCTTCGCTAATGCACGGATGGACAGGTCTGCCCGGGTAGGTACCACCACCTCAAGAATACCGGCGTAAATTGGAAGTGTTAAACTTCTGTGTTTCGTCTGGTGAGTGTGATAGTTGGGGCCCACTTTATTCATACGAGTGTTTCAAATGTCAATGTAAAACGGTTATCACTTAACGTCAGGTGAACCGTCTGCTGCCTTGCCAACTTTTCACATAAAACAAATAGGTACGGAAACCTTCGTGCGCACGGCAACTGGCACTTGGCCGCTTTTTTATTTTTATTTTGTCTACAGTCAACATTATCAGGATTTTATCAACGCGCTTCACGTCGCGCTCATAATTAGTCAATTGATTCACTATAACGAATGTTGCTAAATAATTTTCAATTTAATTTACCATATTGATGATATGATGGGTGATAGGAAGTTTTAATCTCTGTTAACCCTTTTAGGTAACAGCCGTATGTATAAGAAAGAAAGAAAGAAAGAAAGAAAGAAAGAAAAGAAAGAAAATAAATTTATTTCCCAAAAAAAGTATGCACACCATAAAAGAGAAAGAAAAACTAAAATTAACAAAAAATAAAATACTTATAAATATTTCAGTAAAGCGAAAGAACACAAATACATAATGAAAATATAAACAAATAAAAAGAACTTTAACAAAATAAGTAAATATGTGTATCTTATGTATATTGGTATCTACTAACCTGCCAGGGCCATTTCCATGGTAGCTCAAGGACATATCTAGTGAAAGTTCCAAATCGACCTCGCCACAAAATTTCGCCTCTAAATCTTGCCAGCTTCATCTTCGGATCACGCATATTACGCCGGTCCGTTGGTGTGGAAACATTTATGGATATTGATCTAAAATTTTACTTAATTATTCTAATCCATCATTATATTTACTAAATTAAAATTTTCGATGTATTGAAATGAATAAGATTATACGACTTTCGCTATAACTAATTTTGTTTATTTCAAATCAAAAATAAGGAATATTTTAGATGTTGCGATAAGCTGTATAATTTGGAGGAAAAACATCAGTGGAATTATCCTTCATTTGCAGGTGAACTGGTGATATCATTTACCGGTGGTAGGGCCACGCAACACTGTTGCACGAATGGGCAGGTACGTCCGGGTAAGTACCACGACCTCACAGAAGACCGGCGTAAAGTAAAAGTGTTACACTTCTGCGTTTCGTCTGGTGAGTGAGGTAGCCGGGGCCCACTTTATTTAAAGGTACTCAACGTATTTGCAACCCTACGAGTGTTGCAAATGTCCATGGGCGGTGGTTATCATTTAACATCAGGTGAACCACCAGCTCGTTTGCCACATAAAAAAGCGAGCGTTTACTTTAATTTCACATTAACCACAATGAAGTTTTGTTAATTATATGTAATAAAAACTTACTCAGTTCCATAAGTTCCTATCGATGTCTCGCTAAAGCTTTTCCGCATTTTTTATACTACGTTAATACCTATTAATTATTTATATTCTTCTATTATATTATATTATTTTAAATTGCGTTTTTATGACATTTCGGCGAAGCCTAATAGAAAATTGAAGAATATCTTGTGCGTATTAACAATTTGAAGAGAGAATATATAACAAAATACGATTGATTCAAAATGTGTATATAAAAAACATAAAGAAGTTTTCATCGGTCACGGTACCCAAATCATGTGTCGAAGCTGGATATCTTGTATTGGTTCTAAGAAAAGGTGTTATATAGATCATCATTTTTGAAGTAGTAGTTTCTATTGTATGGTTCGTGGGTATAGTTAAATGGATTTACATTTATGAAAGCGATTTGTTTAAATAAAAATTGTAAAACAATTTTGTAGTGATACAAAAATGCAGGTAAGGATTTGATAGAAATTAAGATAAACAGATGGAGATTAGGGGAAGAATATAAATAAAGCAGAAATAAAATCATCATCATTGTTATATAAATTGAAAATAGATTTATTGAGGTATATTTTGCCGTGGTAGGGCCAGGCAGCATCCTCTACTGTTGCACGAATGGCAGGCTCGTCCGGGGAAGTACCATTGCCTTGCCTGAGACCGGACTGATGTAGAAGTATTTATCATACTTTCACGTTTCATCTGTTGAGTGAGAAAACTTCTTTAGGCGCGTTGAGCACTTTTTAGGTGAAAAAAAAAAGAGAAACTCGAACGCGAAAGAGTTAAAATAAAACGTCACCGAACGCTTTCCATAAGCTATTTTTAAAAAAGGACTACGCAAAAATATATTTTCTTGTTATGACATAAATCCTGTTATTATAGTGGTATAGTAGGAGTGCCTATAAAATATGTAGATTTAAATATTATACAATCTTAATTTTGATATTGTTTTATGTTTTCAATTCTGTCGGCAATTCCCATGAGACAGCCTATTTTACGCTGCAACTACAGACTCTCAAGTGTTGTAGATGTCCATGGGCGACGGTAATCAAATTAATAGACTGTGGCTTGCCGACATTCACATAAAAAAAATTAAAATGACAACCTAAATTACAGAAATGCCGTTAAAATATTAGAAAAAGAGAAAATAATAAAATAAAAGATATTAAGATGGATCGTAAAGCATCAGCTTCAAGTATAAGATGCTGTAAATAAAATACCAGTGTCTGAGAATTCTCCAAGGAAATTAAATCTCCTTCAATGCACATGAATGAAAACTCCTTTAACTCATTTAAAGAACAAATGAGAATCTTTTAAACTATTGAATTTAGAATAAGTAGTCCATTTATTTCATAGATTGCTGCTAAGGTTGTAATTATTCCTCAGTTTAAGAATAACATAATACATACATATAAAATACCTGTATTTATATTAATTGCGTAGGTATCTATCTACATATATTTTTCAACAGTAATACTATGTTTGACGTTGATATAAATTTTTAGAGTAGATTGAAAAAAAAAATACTATCTTGTGTACTTGAAGGCTTTTTAAAACAATTTTATATGAATTCAAAACAAATTTCTTAACCTGTTTTATTAGGCTTTCGATACAAAAAAGTATATGTTTACTGAGGATTAAATAACTGGCACAATATACAGCACAATATTAGTCGTAGCCCTAAAATACGTCAGCTAATGGAGCATACCCTTTGCACTGAATAATACATGATTCCATATTACATACTCTGATTTCGCATTTCTGTCGCATTAAATTTTACATTAAGTTAACTACTAAGGCCTTAAGCCTAATCGTTTACGATTTGAATCAATTGTTATTGGAGGATTTACAACACTAGTCTTGGCCTGTAAATGTAATAAAATTTCTAATACATTATACTGTACGAGTACCGTTCCAAAATTGAAAAAAAAAAGTTGTATTGTGTAATGTTACCAAGTAATGTAACGTTGTTATACGTAAATAATTTTTGCTACCGGAGCGTAAAGCAAAATTCACAGAGTTCATTAATTCCCCGGTTGTATGACGTATGAATGACTGTGCTTCATTTTGAACCTACGATCAATTTTTTTAATTTTAAATAAAAAACTTATGTACTTTTTTGTTGTGTTGACTTTTTGGGTTGTTTCTATCTTTTGATTATATTGAAAATAAATCTAGCGTAGTGCGCAAAATCAATTTCTGTATTCATTATAATGACCTTGACTAGTTAAATTGCGTTTCGTTTGCAAAAAAATTGATTAATTGATCTTTTTTCAGTATGCCTCAGGGAAAATTACCTTTTATATGTTTTTTTCTTTCTTTCTTATTTTACTAACGCAGGGGTAATCAAAACAAATATCTATATTCAATATAGAAGCTATACACTAACTTAACGATTGTCAAACATTTCTCATATTATTTATTTCATTCATATTATTTATGACATATTTTTATTTTTTATTGTTAATCTCATTTTAATGCTCCACTGCGCACAATACCGTTACGGATTATAGAACTTTAGTGTTCGTTTAGTGGTGGAGAGTCGATAACGGACTTAGTTGGAAGTTACCTTTTAACTGGACAACTTTCAACTGTTTGAAACAGCTTTAGTTCTTTTGTAAAGTAAGGGCGGTTCGTGACAAGGTAATATAATAACTCTTAACGTCACGTCGTTAAGAGTTATTTAACAGAACCTTGGCCTTGTAGTCCTAGCTTTTTCTGACCTGTAAAAATGTAACGAAATGAACTATTGCCCAGCGTAACTACTTTTATACCACACCGAGTACTCATAATGGCGAAAGTTATTGCATCTATAGAAACATTAATTCCCTGATTTGGCTTCATTGCAGTAGAATTCATGTCTGTGGAATTTTTTTATTGAAATCTTTGAAATTGACAAAATTTAATTCGCCCATTATTTTAATATCGTACGAGTGGGCAGAACAAAA